CACGCCCGGGGTCCCATATGGGCGCTGGTTCCCTTCCAGCTCCCTGCCTGTGGCCTGGGAAAGCAGTCGAGGACGGCCCAAAGCTTTGGGACCCTGCACCCGCGTGGGAGACCCGGAAGAGGCTCCTGGCTTCGGACCGGCATAGCATCGGCCCGTTGCGGCTCACTTGGGGAGTGAATCATCGGACGGAAGATCTTCCTCTCTGTTTCTCCTCTCTGTATATCCGCCTTTCCAATAAAAAAAATAATAAAAATAAATCTTTAAAAAAAAAGATCGGGCCCGGCGCGGTGGCGCAAGTGGTTAAAGTCCTCGCCTTGCACGCCCGGGATCCCATATGGGCGCCGGTTCTAATCCCGGCAGCCCCGCTTCCCTTCCAGCTCCCTGCCTGTGGCCCGGGAAGGCAGTTGAGGACGGCCCAAAGCTTTGGGACCCTGCACCTGCGTGGGAGACCCGGAAGAGGCTCCTGGCTTCGGATCGGCATAGTATCGGCCCGTTGCGCTCACTTGGGGAGTGAATCATCGGACGGAAGATCTTCCTCTCTGTCTCTCCTCTCTGTATATCCACCTTTCCAATAAAAAAAAATAATAATAATAAAAATAAATAAATAAATCTTAAAAAAAAAAAGATCAACCTCTGTATTTCTCTGTAACTCTGCCTTTCAAATAAATTAAATCTTAAAAAAAAAAAAATCTCAACGATGGACCAGCTTGTGGTATAGCCAGTAAGGCTGCTGCCTGTGGCACTGGCATCCCATATGGGTGCCAGTTGAATTACTGGCAGCTCAATTAAAAAAAAAATTATTGTAAAGTCAGATATACAGAGAGGAGGAGAGACAAAGAAGATCTTCTATCCATTGATTCACTCCCCAAGTGGCCGCAGCAGCTGCAACTGAGCCGATCTAAGCCAGGAGCCCAGAACCTCTTCCATGTGGGTGCAGGGTCCTAAGGCTTTGGACAGTCCTCAGCTGCAGGTAGCTGGATGGGAACTGGCGCCCACATGGGATTCCAGCAAGTACAAGGTGAAGACTTTAGCCGCTAGGCTACTGCGCTGCCCCACAGCTCCTCTTCTGATCTAGCTCCCTGCGGAAGTGCCTGAGAAAGCAGTAGAAGATAACCCAAGTGCTTGGGCCCCTGCACCCACATGGGAGACTCAAAGGAAGCTCCCAGCTTTGGTTTGGTCCAGCTTTGGTCTGGCTGTTGCAGCCATTTGGGGTAGTGAACCAGCGGACTGAAGATCTGTGTCTCTTACCTTCTCTGTATTGAAAGCATCCTGTGGAGCTGTACGTGGATGTGCTTGTGACCTGAGTGGCTCAGAGCTGCTTTTTCCTGCCCTCTCAGGAGTGCCAGTGTGTTCTGCCCACTTTCAGGGGCAGGCCTCCAGCTGCAGGTCTGAGCCTCTGCTCCTCTAGTTCCAGTTCCTCTGTCTGGCTCCAGTGCCCTGCTCCCTGGGCCACAGGGCCTGCCCATCAGCACAGGGCTGGTAGGTGACGCTGAACCTGGCAGCCACAGTGACACCTGACACTCAGGGAGATGCAGGAACCTTTTTCTTCTGGGCCTTCGTCTTCCCCTGGAGGATGGAAGCTTAGGATCTTGCCATCAGTATTATGGCAGTGGCTGAGCAGTTGCAGAGTGGATATCCCCAGCACGGGACAAGGAGAGGCGGAGGTGTGAAGCCACAGGACCTCAGGTGCACACAAGCTTTGCTTCAGGAAGTGCTGCCTGCTGTGTTTTCTTCTAACATTTTTGCAGCCCGGGGTTATTTTGAGCCATTTAAGAATGCTGTTGTTAACAAATAAACAAAAAAACCTAGAGTAGATGGAGAACAGCAAGGAAAGCTTGGAAACAGGAAATGGGCAGTGGGGATGCACTTATAACTCACTGGGTGGGATACGAAGATTAGTTACTCCTCACTAGGGTATTTAAGATTTCTCTGCACACGCCTCCTAAAACTGTTCACCTAAACTGTTGACATATGTCTTGTTACAGTTATGGAGTTAGACTACCCAAAAAACAGCCAGGTTCATGCTTCAACGCTATGAACTGCTAAATACTAAAATTAAAATAGACATGAGACAGCTGAATAGTAATCTATAGCCATTTTAAGGTGTATAGAACCCAGTTGTACATAAACTAATAATTGTAATGTCAATGTAGAAGTCATAGGATGTGGTTCAGAACTTGCACTCTTTTTTTTTTTGTTGTTGTTGTTGTTTCTCTCTTTGAACATGCTGGTTACACAATACCATGCCAACTAATTCCATTACGTTATAAATTGTTACTGATGTAATGTTGGGGCTTTCAATTGATTGGGATGATACTCTTTCGGCTGTACCTTCAGACCAGAGACTGTCTCCCCATGAAAATGTTGAACTTATCTGCACAATAAGATGCTGGACTCTATGCTTTGTAGATGCTTGCAAGGAAAAAAAATCTCAACTGAATCTGACCTGTGGTAATGCAACAAGATGGAAGAATCCACCATGATGGGGGGGAAGTGGGTTTTGGGGAGGGGAGGGGAGAATCCCAGTGCCTGTAAAACTGTGTCGCATGATGCAATGTAATTAAAAAATAAAATAAAATAAAATTCTAGAAAAATAAAACCAAAAAAAAAAAAAAAAAAAGAACGCTGTTGTTGACTTAGTGGGCCAGAAGAACTGTCCCCACTCCCCAACTCCACAGAGACGATTCAGGTTGAAAGTTAAACACTAAGTGTGCTTGCAAAGTGTTGGAAGAATTAAAAGTTCAGCCATATTCTCCTGACGGGTCTGTGGCGTTTCATTTCCTGTTCTCTGCTGGCCTCTTCAATGCTGGCAGTCCCTAGTTGCTCTTCAAAATTTGGCATGGAATGGGAGCAAGTTGATTTCACTGAAATTCAAAAGCTCTGGAATTTCTTAAGTGCTTCCTTCCTCAAAGTGCTTCCAGAAGGGTCCCCCAATGCTCCGCTCAGCCATCTTTTGTTCTGTTGGTGCCAGTCCAGCCCAGATTCCTTTGTTCGGAGTCAGACCTGCCATTATTCACATTCTCAGTTTTAGACAGGTTGACTTAATTTCAATGTGAGTCGTTGAAATTGTATCACTAAGGATTACAGTCACTGAAATGCCAAATAATTAGGAAGTAAGAAAGAGCAACCAATGAAGTCTTTTTTGTTGTTTTTTGGCGAGTCCTGAAGTAGTAGTTGCTGGGAGTGCAGTTCCTGGCTTCTTGGATCTTGCAGGGGCTCTGTGCTTAATACGGAGAGCTGTGTAAATTACAGGGATCATTCTTAGCATCCCAGCAGGTGGCAGGGAGGGGAAGAGGGTAAGGTGGCATGCCAGCACTGTATTTTAAAATACAGGCAGACCTGGTTGGCTGCAGGGAGGCAGGGAAGTAGTTGCACAGTGTTTATTCTGGCTTACTACTTGCTCACTTAAAAGTTGTAGGTTTTTACTTCTAAGGAAGTGAATGTCTATCTGAGGAAAATGAGGAAGACCTGACCTAAACTGTCCTGATTAATTTTGCTGAATCCGATCTCCTATCCTGTAACGTTTTTCTTTTTAAAAAAAGTTACAAGTGGTTCTTCAAAGGAAAGATGCATTTGAAAGGCGGAGTGACAGGGAAAGAGATCTTTCATCTTCTGGTCACTCCCCAAGTGGCCCAGACAGTCAGATCTGGGGCGAGCCGGAGCCAGGAGCTCCGCCCTGCTCCCCTAGGTGGGCGGCAGAGGCCCAGGTGCTTGAGCTAGCAATGCTGCCTGCCTTCCAGAACACTGCAGCAGGAGGCTGGGTTGGAAGTCGATCAAACTGGTGTTGAAACATGGGGTGCTGGTCGCAAGGCTGGTCCATGCAGCTATCTTTACAGAGCACCCGGTAGTCTCCTCCAGACCACTGCACGTGCAGACAGCCCTCCCTGGGCGCTCTCTGCCTGCTGAGGGGAACTGCTTCTTTGCAGGCTCAGCACTCTCCCTGACCTCCAAGCTTGTAGATTTTCTCTGAAGAAACTGGAACTTGGACTCCCACAGCCTCTCAGGCCTTTCTTGCCTGTCCCCCTCACAGCAAAAAACAGGAAGAAGTCGGGGCTGACCCTGAACCCAGAAGTACAAGGTGAGTTTCTACCTAGAAGGCACTGCAGACCTTTCTGTGTCCCTGGCTGAAGCCGACTCTTCCAGAAACACACCACAGGGCTCCTGCAGGCAAGACGTGCACTCCAATCTTCCCAAGCATGCTCTGTCGCTGGACTGCTTAGGGTCCCTCAGTGCCTCCCCAGTGCTTCCTGCTTGTGGTCTAACCCTCAGCCCATTACTCCCACCCAAAGCTTGGCTCTCAGGCAGCAGCCACATGTAACTGCAGTTTCCTGTCCCGGCTTTCAGGTTGCAGACCTTCCCTGGGGCTTTGCTGTGGACACGTTTTCCTGTTTGCCCATCAAGATGCGCTGTGGCCAGCACTTCCTCTGGGTATCCTCTCCGACATCCTCGGGCACGGCGGGGATGTGGGCACTTGGGTCTCCAAACACCTCCGCATTAGTGGCCCCATCACTTCATTGGAGTGGTACCTAGCACCAGACTAAGCAACTTGAGGGCCAGCACCACATTTTCCACTGCTATCCCCAGCTTCCTGCCACACATTAAGCATTCAGTACTCCCTGGATGAGGCTCTTTAGGTAAAGCACAAGACCAAGCAATAAGGGAAGGTTCCCATCCTTTGAAAGAATGAATTATGAAGGAAACAAGTCACACTGTCCAACCCTTCTTTGTCTGAATAAATCCTATTTATTAACTTTTTTTTCCCCCCCAAGGTATGTATTTGGAAGAGAGTAAGAGATCTTCCATCTGCTGGTCCACGTCCCTAAATGCTCACAACATGTGGGCCTGGGCTATGTCCGTGTCAGGAGCCACAGACTCCATCTGCATCTCACACATGGGCAGCAGGAACCCAAGTACTTGCCCATCACCAGCTGACTCCCAGGTGCACTAGCAGGAAGCTGGTTGGAAGAGGAGCAACCAGCACTCAACCTCAGGCACTTGGATGTGGGATACAGATGTCCCAAGTGGTGGCGTGGCCTACTGTGCCATGGTAACTCTCCCAAGCCTGTTTTCAGAGCCTTCCAAGCTTTACCTCGAAGAAGCCTCCCCGACCCCAGGCCAAGGCCAGGGTCCCAGGGGTGCTCCTTTAGTCCCTTAGGTGTTGATTTTGTAGCACTCGTCACTGGTGGCAAGGGGACTGGTAATGCAGGGTCTCTTAGGAGCAGCACAGGAACGCTTTGGGATGCAAGAGGCTATGCGTATACTGTGGGCTGTTCATAAGCACCACTGACCCCTGCCCACTGGATGCCAGCAACTCTTCCTCCCCAAGTCATGACAATCAAAAAATGTCCCTAGGCATTGTCTGGAATCCCCATGGGGATAAGACTGGCTCTGGTTGAGAACTACTGGTGCATGAGGGTGGTCCTGCCACCTGAGACCCCATGTCTTTGCCTCCTAGGGGCTCTCATGGCTTTAGCCCAGCCTGCCTTCTTCCAGGGGCTGAGCCACACACTGCCTGGGGAGTAAAATCTTCATTGCTACTGGTCTCTCCTGTAGGCTGGTACAGCTAGAAGGCAGAGATTCCAGGAGATTGGCTGTTGCACCTGTCTGCGTCCACCCAAACTCTGCCTCAAGGTGATCTGGAGGGTTTTGCTGGGAGCCAAATGAGGAAAAGACAGGAGGGAGCTGCTATTGCTGTGAGAAGTGGCCAGGGCCCAGGGAGGGCTTCTGTGCTTTTAGAAAATTCAGACTTTATTAGATACCCCAAGGCTGGCTGGGGAGAGCCTCGACCACCTTCACAGTTCTGCTGGCAGGAAGAGGCAGCAAAGGGAGGAGCAGCAGAGGATGGGGCCTTGCAGCCTGTCTGTCCATCTGCTTCACTCTAGCTCTTCTGGGATGATCACATGGTGAGAATCTGCTTGGTGGACACAAAGGGCTGCATGGAAGCCTGCAGGGCATGCTGGAAGTCCTGCAGTGGGACCTCTGCACAGGCAGGGGCGCAGAGCTGGCCTTGGCGGATTAGGTCACACAGTGTGAGGATGAGCTCCTTGAAGTGGGCTGTGGGAGGTCACAGGTGGTCAGCAGGCACAGCACAGCTGCTGGGGTGGTGGGACTGGCGCTGCACTTCAAGAGAGCCTGGGAGTTGTGGCTTTGCCAAGGACTGGGCAGCTGTGGAAGCAGCCAGCCTGGTCCCACCTGTGTCCAGTGCTGGGAGCGCCAGGGAGGGTTGGAGGGATGCAGGGAGTGGTCCCACGAGCCGCTGGGGAGGCAGCCACTGGACTTCCGGGGGGCAGCTGAGACGACTCAGACCCACAGAACTGGACCAGGGGGCAGCTGGGCAGGTGTTTGATAGTGGGAGGTGGAGAAGCTGCTGTGGAACCCCGTATCTGGAGGCCACCACCATTCTCGCCTGAGGTCCCTCACACAGCACAAGGTGTGAGGTGAGGGGATGAATGTTTTTCCGTAACCCATAAGTTTTTCGAACCTAGTCCTATTTCGTGCTTAAAAACATGTCAGTGAGCCATGGTCAATACCCCTGCCCAGGTCGGGCACCACTGATGTTCTGGAGGCTGATGCTCATTCACCGGGATGGGCTGCTGCACGGGCTGTTTGTGCTGTCACCATGTTCCTCCCACCTCAGTGAGATTACTGCATGCCAGGCGTCCCTTTCAGCCAGTCCCCTCAGACAGGAAGTGTTGTTGGATTGACTGTGCCTGCTGCTACACAGCAGTGACTCGGGTGAGCTGCTAACCACTTGGAACCTCACAGTTCTCCTGTCAGACATGGTTAACCAACTAGGGTTTAACCTAGGACAGTGCTGACCCCAAGACCGACTAACCCAGGCTCCGTCAGCTAGCGCAGACAGAACTTGATCCACAGGGGCGGGAGCACGACCTGACACAAATGGGCTGCCTGCAGTCTGGGCTTGCCACCTGGTTGTCTGCCCCAGCTGCCCATGTTTTTTGGGTTCCAGTGTGTGCCCCAAAGCCTGGCCCATGTTAATCCGGCTTTGGACAGAGGCTGCTTTATCCTGCTGTGGGGCTGGGGCCCCAGCCACCTCTCCAGGGCCCAGTCCAGCAGCTGGGTCATTTCTGCAGCTGTTCTTCAGCTTGTGCTCTCCTGTGACCCCTGGCAGCGGAGTCACCATCCACTCACCTGGACTGTGGTCCTTCTTCCACTGTGACAACCAAAAGCCTCGAAGCTTGAGGTCCTTAAAAATGAGCAGGCTCTGTGAACATGGGAGGTAGGGAGACAGGCACCAGGAAGGTCAGTTCTTTGTAGGACAGAGGCCTGGCTGAAGTGCCTGAGCCCCCCATCTCCCCACGTGTGCTCCTCGCCAGCTTACCACAGAGGCCACGACGGGCTGCTTGGCCATTCCACCGTAGGTCACCATGGTTCCCCCAGGCCTGGAGAATCCAGACAGAACAGGGTGGGTATAGGTAGGGACAGGGCCTGCCTTGACCCTGCTCTGGTACTTCCATTCCCACCCTGCTTCCCCACCTTGATCCTAGAATCCCTGGGGAACAGTTAAAAAATGCAGACTCCTAGGCCTGACCCTGGACCTGATGAAGCAAGAGGCCAGAATCTCTCTCTCTCACACACACATTTCTAGCTGACGGGATATTTCACAGGGGTTGGGACCCAGGCAAGCTGTGATGAAATGCCCCAAAGCTACAGGCACACCCAACCCTGGCTCCACTTCCCCTACAGGTAGGTGACCTGATTGGTACTTGGGAAACTGCCCAGTGCAAGGTTCAAGGTGGGGCACAGTGAGCAGGTAGGGCGTGAGGCAGATAGTGTAGGACACGGAGGAGCCTCCATGGTCCCTGCAGAGGATGGCTGAGGTCCTTGGGACCCTGCACCCATGTGGGTGCCTTGCCCATGTCTGACGCCCATCTTGGCTGTCAGGAGCAAGGCAGCTCTGCTTTTCAGAAGCTGGTGAGCTTGGTGCTGTGGCTCTTCCTCTGCTGCCAGGTGCTTTCAGGAGTTTTTTTTTTTAAAGATTTATTTTATTTTCATTGGAAAGGCGGATATACAGAGAGGAGAGACAGAGAGGAAGATCTTCCATCCAATGATTCACTCCCCAAGTGAGCGCAACGGCCAATGCTATGCCAGTCCGAAGCCAGGAGCCTCTTCCGGGTCTCCCACGGAAGCTTTGGGCCGTCCTCTACTGCCTTTCCGGGCCACCGGGCCACAGGCAGGGAGCTGGATGGGAAGCGGGGCTGCTGGGATTAGAACCGGAGCCCATATGGGATCCCGGGGCGTGCAAGGCGAGGACCTTAACCACTGCGCCACCGTGCCGGGCCCGCTTTCAGGAGTTTGTGGGTAAAGGATGACACATCTGGGGACAACAGGAGGAAGCTGTTGTCAACAAAGAAGACCGTTCTCCAGTTCCCAGGTGGCAGGTGCAGTTCTGAGGGTGCTGTTGGCATACGTCCCTGACCCCAAGGGAGCACTCTGCATGTCTGTGGAGGAGGAAGATGAAGCCCGGTCCTCGCATATACAATGACCTGCACTTATCCTCGCATTCTTCACCCCAGCCTTGAGAGGCAGCGTGGGCTGCTGTCAGCCTCCCTGCAGGTGGAGAGACTGAGACACAGAGAGGGTCCTGCAGGTGCACAGCTGCCAAGCAGCAGCAGAGCCAGGCTGGGGCCCAGCCCCCTGGACTCCAGTACCTACACTGTGGCAGCTGCACAAGGCATCCTCTGAGCCACCAGGGCAGGTCCACAGGGTGTTTCTGTGAATCCCTGACATCGGGGCCCAGCCCGGTTCTGTTGTTGCTGAGATCTCAGGCAAGGTGGTCGCCCTCTGTGTCCTGTGCTCAGGCACAAGATGGAGCTATGAGAGTATGTCCTGCCTAGCAACAGTCACAGGGCTAAGGCCAACCTGGCTGCACGGGGAGTGTCTGCTGCTTGTCACATGACCCATCTGCCACCTAGCCTTGTGTTCCAGGAGGTGCCTTGGCATCTCCACCATCTGTCTGCCTGGTAGCCAAGTGAGGGCGGGGGACTGGCAAATGTGAGTGACCTGAAACCCTGGTTATGGAAGTTGAATCCCGATCTGGTGGAGCGACTCTTCAGTGCCCCCAGCTGGAGGAATTTATTAAAAACAAGAAGGGAAGGCGTGTGCTGCTGGCATTGTCTCGGTGGCGTTGTTACTTCAGTTTCCTTTTGTACTTGGATGTACTTTCAAAATCTTGTGTGATAGGCACATTACCTCTCAAGTGAGAATCTCCTTTCAGAAAGCTCATAACAGTTGAAAGAGCTAGGAAGCTAGGACTAAGAGCCTGTTTAAGGTGCCCCTGGGTTGAGTTCTTGACCATTGCCTTAATTGAGAGCTTAGCAGTCTATTTCCAGACTTCCTTGGAAAAATAAATCTGGCCAGGCTTCCCAGAGGTCATCTACTCAAAGGAAGAGGAGCAAGAAGGGCCCAGAGAGCTGCATGACCTTGGTCCCAGTTTCCTATTCAACTTGCCAGCCTGGGCCTTTGCTGGCACTGGCCATGGGGGCCTTGGTGACTTGGGTCATGCAGGGCTGGGACTTACGCTAAGTGCCGCAGCAGCTCAGTGGAGCTCTTCCCGCCCACACAGTTGAGAGCAAGCCGGGGTGGGGGCATGTCCTGGAAAAGAAAGACGGTGGTGAGGGGCTTCTTCCCGCCTCGGGTGGGGCCTGCAACTCATTCCTGTCAGCTTTTCTGTGGCCCCAGCACCACGTCAGAGGTGGTAATGAACATGGGTGCTGATGCCCTTGAGCTTGCCTCTCTGGCTGCCCAGGAAGGGCCTTTTCTTCAGCAGCCTAATCCTGTCGTGCCTGTTGGGACTTGGTTTAGCAGGCACCTCCCCGGGAGAGACTAGGCAAAGAGCATCCACAGTCACATGCCAGGAACGCCAACTCCTGGAGGGCGCCTCTTCCCGGCACGCAGGGCTCAGTGCGTGGGAGATGTTCCACTCCCTGGCTTCAGACAGGTTCTCTAGGGAGCATGTGTTTGTTCCCTCCAGAGGGGTTAGGCCACTGGCTATGTGCGGTGGCTATGTGAGGGTGGCTGTTCTGGAAGGCCGAGAGACTCTGAAGTTAGGCACTGGGTACACGGACACATATCAGGAGGGTCTGGGTTCAAGTCTTGGCTCCTCCACTTTCAATCCAGCCTGCTGCTGATGCGCACCCTGGAAGGCAGCAGGTGACTCATATCCGTAGGTTCCTACTGCCTCTAATTCAGTTTCTGGCTGCTGGCTTTGGCTTTGACCAACGCTGACAGTAGTTATTGGCAGAATGAATTGGCAGATGGGAGATCTGCCTGCCTGTCTGCCCTTTAAATAAAGTGGGGTGGCAGGGAGAGGGAGGGTGGCCTTAGACTCAGGGAGACCAGAGGTCCGTCTTGCCTATGTACATCTAGGCGACTGCACAGAGCTTCGCCTGAAGTGATTGGATACAGCGTGAGAAACATGACTTCTTTTTCCTCCCTTTCTGGGCCTTGGTTTCCTCAGGTCCTCTCCAGTGCTAAATAGGGGCAGATGTGACCAACCAGGTGTTGGAAGCTGCCAATCATGTGAGGTCTCCTCCACTCCCGACCCTCGAGCAGCGGGTCCTCTGGCTAAGGAATGGCTTTGCCCTCCCAGGAAGGAGTGAGCGGAGGGTTTTGGAGGAGAACAATGGAGCTGCTCCCCAATTCAACTTTGGTCAGGGAGAGTGGTATGGGATGGGGAGAGGACAACTCCTCCCGGGCACCTTGAAGGAGGCTCTCGTTTCTGGCTTTCTCAGGTCCTCTTCTGTGACGACGTGCTCGGCCCCAAGGCTCTTCAGTCTGTTAGTCAGTTCCTGGAGGTTGGGTCTGGAAGCCAAACACAACCCAAGGCCCTGGGTCACAGACGTGCGAAGTCATATTTGTTCCCATGGGATGGGATGGCGTTTTAAGCCAGGTCCTGATGGAGACACACTCCTCCTTCCCTTGGGTGAGACAGCTGTAGGGTGACTGCCATGGCCCCTGGCACTTCAGGAGACTAGAGGCTACCCACACCCAGGGACAGGTCCCATCACTTCTCAATTCCTCTCTAAGCATGCAAAGGACCCTCCCAAACATAGTGCAAACACACCCCACCAGGGGCCTGTGCCTCCATGGCCAAGGCAAGCCAAACAGCTTTGGTGAGCACAGCCCAAATGAGGACCAGTTTTCCTGCCAAGCCTTAGCTTCCGGGACAGATACGGCCATGTTCACGGACAGCGAGGTGTAAAGGAAACTGGTTTCCTCAAAGTCGGGCATCTTGGCTGCTCTTGGCTGCTCATAACAGGCAGTTTTTGCCTTTCTCCTCTACATCTCGGAGACTCACTCACTCTAGAGCTCAAAGCTGCCTGAGCTCAGTTTCTCTGCGCTGACTTCTCTCTCACCTGCAGACTGTTAGCGAACCACAGAGCAGGGTGGTTATGCTGATGCGAGGGTGCCATCTGGTGGACAGCTGGGCACCCACAGGGACGAGCGGTGGAAAGGCCCACGAGGTGGTCTGGGATCAGGCCTGCCCACGCACCTGTCTCGGACCACATTGATGGTCCTGAGGCCCAGGGCAGCGGCGATCTGGATGACTGCTTGTCCCACTCCACTGTTGGATGCGTTCTGAATGACAGAATCCCCTGTAGAGCCAGGAAAATATCCCAGTCAGGCCTTGCAGACCTGTGATAGGTCAAGGGCTTCCAGCCTTATATTAAAAGCCTGTGATGGGCTAGAGATGGGGTCCTCAGCACAGCAGGGACCCACGATCCAGCTGCTGCTCTGTTGCAGACCCTTGCTTGCTACTCACGGTGTCCCCAGTGCCTCCCAACCTCTCCAGCACCCACAGGGCCATCCGGGACTTAGCTACTGGGCACTGCTGGTAGGCATAATTCAAGCCACTGTGTAAGAAAATTCCCCTGCTCCGTTATTTTCCCAATTTTAGTGTCTCTGAGTCTATGCCTGGATCCTCTGATTTGCAAATACGCTGCCCCTTTCCTTGTAAAATCCTTCCTGTTCCCTCGAAGAATGGCTCAAGTGTGCTTCCTCCATGAAGCTTTCCTGCATTCTCTCTCCCCACAGTCTCTGCCATTTTCCCCAGGCTCCAAAGGTTTGTCCTATCCTCCACTTGGTTGTCCATTTCCGTCAGTGGGCTTGCAGCTCCTGGAGGACAGGGCCCTGCTTTATTCTTCTCCGTACTGTTTAATAAAGTGACAGTGCCTTGACCCAGGGGCAGAGAAAACTGGGAGCCCCCAACACAGGGTCCGTCACAGAGTGTGTGGGCAGAGCCCAGGTCCCTCCCGACGGAGCAGGCAGTGGACCATGCACAGGAAAACATGGGCTCTGGGTGGAGATGGAGCTCACTGTGTGCCCAAGGAAAAGGGGCAGCTCGAGATGCCACTGTATTTCAGCTCCTCCTCATGGAAAGGGAGTCCCTGGTCACATCTGCCAGCTTCCTCTTCTGCAGGCAGCGGTTGGTGGCCCCACGTCATCAGGAGGCCGTGGCCTCCATGTCCTCCTGGGCAGGAGACGTGGCCTGGGTGACTTCTACAGCCTCTGCCAGGAGCAGGGCAGCCTCATGGGAGAGCAGCATTGGTGGGAAATGGCCCGGCCCTGGTCATCTGGGGACTGACTCCCTGCGGGCTCCCAGTAGTCAGAGTGGCCCTGGTGGGCTCTGCTTTCCTGCCGGTGTTGTGCTTGCTCCTCCCACTCCCTCATCTGCTGGCTGAATCCAAGTGTCTGCCCCATTTCTGACTCGGAGGCCCTGCTTTCAGGGGAGCTCCAGCAAGATACCTGGTTCTGCATTTAACTTGCGGAGTGAATGCATGCAAACAGCGGATCAGCCTTGACTTCAGTTTCCCCACTGATCAAAAAGCAGTGGACAGTTCTGGGGCTGTGTGCCCGTGGGCCTCAGGGACCCCATGGGGCCTTGCTGGGCAGGTAACCCACCTGATGACTTGGGAGGTGAATTCCCACAGCTGGTGAGAGGCGAGGTTCGCCTCCAGGGACTGCAGCCCTCACCCAGCTGGATCCAAGCTTAATGCACTCCACAGGAGAATGCCTACAAGGCACTGTCGTGAGCCGGAAAGCACGGCGGAAATGCTGAGTGCGGTTATCAACACTATGTTCATCAGCGCTTTGCTGAGAACACAGGCACTGTGTCTGTCTTTGTGTTCCCAGGGTTTAGGCCAGCTCGACACATTTTTGCTGAATGACTGAAGTCCAGACTGGGTGTGAGGGGACAAGAGTGTGCCTGCTTCTCTGGAGGCCCAGCATGTACTCCAGGACATTGAGTTGGCACCCTGCTAGGCACGCTCACCCAGGTGAGGGGCTTGCCATCCTCCCAGACCCGCAAGGCGGGCAGGTCCCGCTTCCCTATGTGGTCCTACCGGGCTGCAGCTGCTCGAAGTCCCTCAGCATGCGGTAGGCTGTGCAGGGGTTGACGCCCAGGGTGGCTGCGCTCTGCAGAGGGATGTCGCTCGGGATCCCAATCACTGCCTCCTCGTTGAACACAGCCTCCGTCCTCCAGGTTCCTGGTCAGGGTGGAGCAGGGCATGTGAGAAGTGGCCACTTGGTTTGACCAAGCCCCGCTCCACCCTGTCTGTGGGCGGAGTTGGAGTAACATGTTACTGGGAAAGAACAGCTGGAGGTCCCTTCTTTGGGTCCTCAAGAGGTGTGGTCTATGGTACTTGTGCTATGTCCACTGAAGTCATGCAGCGAGGTAGACAGGGTGGGTGGCTGAGATGGACACGGCTGGACCCCGAGGAGGTCACAGGAACCTGGCCAGCAGGCAGAGGAAAGCTGAGGACATCCCCTGGTGCCCAGGCAGCTTCCTCTCATCCAGGGCAGGCAGCTTGGGAGATTTTCCTGGAGAAAAAGTGTGGACAGAGAAGCCGCTGGCCTAGGTTGGGCAGCCTGCAGCTTTCAACAAATTTCTGGGTCACTGAGTCTTGGCTTGAGGATGCTGCCAAGACTAGCCTGCCCCGCACCCCACCCTGGGGGAGCGGGTGGTTCACTCAAATGGGATGCAGGAAAAGAAAAAGGCTGCTTGCCAGAAGGAAGGCGTCATTCACTCTGAGTCTACGCTCCAGCCCAGACAGGACAATCACAGAACCATGGGGACTGAGGCGAGGGAGCAGCCTGCTCCACACAGCAGGGGCCACCTCCCTGAGCCAGAGGGGTGGACAGGTAAAACAAGCAACTACAACAACTAAGCAGTGTGAGGCAGTGATGGTGGGGAGCTGAGTCCACGTGGAAGTCAAGGACAGCTTCTCGGAGGAGGAAACAGGTGCACATGAGAGGACAGAGGTGCTTTCACTCGGAGTGCAGCAAGAGCATTCTGCAGAGAGGAGAGGCAGGGCAGACACCGGGATGAGCTGGGGGGTCGACACTGCAGGGCAGAGTGGCAAAGGATGGCTTTAGATGGGGCTGACCGACGAGTCCCACTGTGTGCCAGCACACACACATGCGCATGTGCGCACACATGTATGATATACAGAAATCCCTTTACGTTTGCGACATGCTCTGATGCCCCACTCGGCTCCTTTGCTGCCTGCAGTCCCCTGGGCCCACCAGGCTGATGGCCCACATTCTGTGGAGCAGGGCTGACTGTAGTGCAGCAAAGCGAAGCCTCAGGCACAGCTGGCAGTGCTCCGAGGTCAGAGTGGGGAGGACAGGTAGAGAGGCTGACTGGGGAGTCAAGGTGTGAGATGACGGTTGACTGTTCCAGGAGTATGGCAGGGTGACAAGGAAGAGCAGATAGGCTCAAGCTCTGCTCTGAAGACTGATCAATGGGCAGAGTCCCATGGGAGGAAGAGGGTCAACCAGCATCAACAAAAGGCTTGGCTCTGCTGCACTCTCACTGCACCATCCTATCAGCTGGGGAAGCGCTTGGAGCCCGCACGGCCCAGGCACCCACTCCCAAAACTTCCGGCTGTGTGCTCTCTCCATCTAGCTGCTGGGATCCCAGTGGTATCCCGGGGCTGTGTGGCCCCACGGGGGACAGTGCACTTTACTACAGGAAGGGAGCAGGGTGGACTTCTGGAAGGGTGACAGCTCAGACAATAAAAAATGGCAACAGTCAGGCTACATCTATCTCCTGATGCATTTCTGGGATGTGTCCACAATCTCGGGTTCTCAGAAGTTCCAAGAGGGGAATGAGAGTGCTTATTGAAAGAAAATGTCTCATTCCAGGACGAGAGCTTGCTTTTCTTTCACAGCTCACGCAGTACACTGACTGCCCCAAGTTAGTTTCTGTACATGCACCTGGAAGGACCCACTTGCCTGGTTCAGTTGCTCACAACTAGCCAGGATGTAGCTCTTCCTGGATAGCTGAGTGTTTACAATGCTTACACTGATTGGGTGTGTTTCGTGCCACTACAGTTGACAGGATACTTGGTGTTGTGTGTTGAAGTAAGCTTGGCTGACTGAATGATTCATGTCCAGTGCTCTCTGAGTTGATACAGTGCTCGTGGCCTAAAAACCCCTGAACACGGCTGATGGGGCTGCTGCCTCTTCTAACTGCAGTGGGATGGGCCAGTCCACTCCCCCCCACCTTTTTTTAAAAAATTATTTTCATCTACTTGAAAGGCAGAGATAGAGAAAGCTGTCTTCCATCTGCTGGTTTACTCCCATATGCCCACAATGGCCAAGGTGGGTCAGGCCAAAGGCGGGAGCCTGGAACTCCATCTGGAGCTCCACGCGGCTGGCAAGGGCCCAGGCCCTTGGACCATCAGCTGCTGGCTCCTAAGACACCTTAGCAAGGAACTGGATCAGAGGTAGAACAGCCAGGACTGTACTATAGTGTCACTGTGCCACAACACCTGCCCCATGTGTCAGGTCTCAGCACATTATCACTGTAAAGGCCCCAACCCTGGCAGCCAGAAGGGATGGAGTCCAGGAGGCTGGCTCTTGTTTTGTTGTTTGTGTTTGGGTAAGCCCTCACTTCCCAAGCTTTGGTTTCTTATACACAGGCAAGGTCACAAAGTTTGTGGATAAAATGAAATTAGAAGATAAATTTAGGGCCTGGACTTATGGCATACCAGGTTGATCCTCCACATGGTGCTGGCATCCTATATAGGTGCCAGCTGGAGTTCTGCCTTTTCCAGTTCCTGCCCAACTCCCTGCTAATGCACCTGGGAAAGCAGCAGAGGCTGGCCCAAAGTCTTGGGCCCTTGTGCCTAATATAGGAGACCTTGAAGAAGTTCCTGGTTTGACCTGGCCCAGTCCAGCTCCAGCTGTTGAGGCCATTTGGGCAGTGAAGCAGCAGATGGAAAATCTCTTTAACTGTGCTGTTCAAATCAATAAAGAACACAGTTTTTAAAAAGTTAATTTTGGTGAAAATTTTTTTAAACCCATGTATATTTTTTAGTTTTAAAAATCCTTGACTTATTATTTATTTCAAAAGCAGAATGGCAGATAGAGAGATTTTCTTTGGGCTAGTTCTCTCAAATGGCTACAACAGTGAAGTATGGGCCAGACCAAAGCCAGAACTCCGTCCTGTTCTCCCCCAAGGGTGGCAGGGGCCAAAGCACTTCAGCTAGCTTCCCCTGCCTTTCCAGCAGCATGAGCAGGGGGCTGGATCGGATGTAGAACAGCCAGGACTCAAACTGGAGCTCTGATAAGGGATGCTGATGCTGCATGCTGGGGCTTAACCTGCTGCCCCCGAGTGTCAGCTCCACAGTTTTCTCACAGTATGCACTTTTCCACAAACTTTTTCCATTCTCCTCCCATGTGCATGGATTTCCAGATTTTCTGAACAAAACAAGCTTAGTATTTAATTCCATTTCCATGAACACTTTAAAGTACCCTTGCTATGCTCCTGGGCTGCCAGGAGGATCCACTTTAACAAGAACTTTTCTCAAAAGCCACCTCGGGTTAAAAACAAGGCTTCCCAATGACCTCTGGTTACACCTGAGGTGAGATCCTACCCTCATGGCTCGGCTTTTGCAGGGTTCTGTCTCGTGACGCCAAATGCCTTAAATTGATGCTTTGGGGAGAAAGGCATGGGAGAAACTGGGAGCCAGGAACCCCATTCAGGTCTCTCCCAACTACCAAAGCCATCACCACTATCTCGCAGGGGTCCACGCTGCCAAGAAGCTGGAGTCGGGAGCCCAAGCTGGGAACCGAACCTATGCAGGCATTATTACTGCTAGGTCAAATGCTAGCCTGCCCCACCCCATGGACCTTTAAATTATGACTAAATGAGAGTGGGAGGAGGGGAGATCTTCCATCTGCTGGTTCACTTCTCCTACCATGTGCTCAGGTACGTGGGTAGGAAGCAGGGCTGCAAGCAGAGGAAGTGGGATTCACACCGGCTCTCTGAGCCTGGATGTAGCTTCCTAAGCAGGACCCGCTGCGCCGTGACACCTGTTTCTGATGCCTTTCTCATGCTTGGAATCCTCTTCCAGGTGCACATGCAATTTCCCACCGCCTTGCCCCGACTCAGCTTGGTCTTCGCTCCTTGTATTTCTTCCATGTGAGGGAATCTTTGGTTCATCGACCAAAGGCCAGCTGAACCTCTGCCACGCAGCCTTTCCTGACCGACTCTCTCACACACACACAAGTGCCCTCTGCTGCCTGTGAACTTGTCATGCTCCCTAATGGAGGTGACTGGCACAGAAGGATTTTTTCTACATGCCTGAACCTCCTGGAGGTTCCTGTTCGCATTCTCCGCTGCACCTTACAGCAGGGGCTCAGGGGTTCAGAGGACCACAGCTCCAACTCACATGGGCCCAAGGGGAGGAGAGCAGGGGCCTGTTACTACTCAGAGCAAGACAAAGAGAAGGCTGCTTTCCTCTCGGCTGCCTGAGCCGCCGCCAGGGACGGGGACTTAGTGAGAAGTCATGGATTGCTCAGTTGCAGGTGGCCGGGCAGAGAATGGCTCCAGGGCAGGTGGAACAGGATCTGGAAGGATGAAGAGGCTGCTGGCACCTGGGAAAACTTACCCAAACCGGCACTTGCCGGAATCACCCAGTCTCCCGGCTTTAGTGTGGTCACACTGCTGCCCACTGCCAGCACCTGTCCGACTCCCTCATTCCCTCCGACGGCAGGGAGCTCGGGAAGAAGGCCGTAGTTTCCTGCGGGGCAAGAACGAAAGGGGATGCAAGGCAGGGTGGGCCTGGAGAACCGTGTGCTTTGGAGTCAGACAGACCTCAACAGACCTTGGCTTGAGCCAGGCTCTTCAAGCCGCCCTCTGAGCGTTAGCTTCCTGCTCCGGTGGAGGGGTGTTGGCAGAAGCTCACAAGGGTGCATGTTATTATGGGGATTAGGTAACAAGCCCGGCATGGGGCTGGTTCCCTCCCCCACTGTCATCTCCTCAACTCTTGGAGCCTCACGTTCTGGAGAGGGAAGGTCACTGAGCTCGCTCATCTGGAGACCAGCTGCTGTGAGCCACAGGCGGTTCACACCCACACCTGAGCAGGAAGGGGAACGAGGTGGCGGCTGAGCGCAACCACCAATTAACACGGGCCATGGAAACCAAGGTTACCTTGGATCATGTTTATGTCAGACGGATTGATGGGGGCCGCCAGCATTCTCACCCGGACGTCGGATCCTCCCATGGCAGCGAGCTCCGTGTTCTTGAGCCTGAGCACAAAGGCAGAGAGATGTGACCGTCAGCCGGGCTTGAGTGGGTGCCTCTTGCTCACACCCGTTTCTCCAAAGTGGGTCAGGCTGTGTCTCCCACACAGGCCGACTCTCAGGTTATAGCTCTCCACTGCAGACTCAAGGCAGGAAGGATCAGCTGTGTGCCCCAACCCCCACTTGCTGGTTGGTAATCACACGGCATGTTCTGCTAATACAGTGTTCAGGCCCAGCTCTGATTTACTGGAACTATAAACAAATATACTTATTTATTTGAATAGCAGAATCACATTGAGAGAGGTCTTTCATCTGCTGGTTCACTCCCCAGAGAGCCATGACAGACAGGTCTGGGCTAGGCCAACCAGGAGTCTCCTGGAACTCCATCCGGGGGAAGGGGGGTCTCCCACAGGGATGGAAAGAACCCAAGCATCGGGGCCATTTTCTGTGCTCCCCCAGGCACACCAACAGGGAACAGTCAGGACTGGAATCGGCAGCTACGTGGGATGCTGCCTTCACTGTAATGCCCGATTCCAAGCAGTTCTTCTGGCAGGCATACCTAGGAAACCCTGGGCCAGTCTGCCTGCCTTGTTCTTGTTGTTGGTCCCACCGTGAACACACATTTGGGGAGATGAGAACTCCCGGGCAACCGTGATGGGGGTTTCCAGAGTGACGTCCCTTCTGATCGCAGGCTCTTACAAAGGACACTGGGGACAGCAGGGGTCACGGTCCTAGAGTCCTCCACGCTAGGCCTCTGCTGCTGCATTTGTACAGTGTGCTGGTGGTTAGGACTTGATCACTGCAGGTCTGTGCCTGTCCCTCTGCTCCCAGAAGCCCTGCCCACCATCCTACCGAAGCTTTGCTCAGCTGGCACGACCTGAGCTTTTTTTTTTTAAGGTTTATTTTTTATATTCATTAGAAAATCATACACAGAGAGGAGGAGAGACAGAGAGGAAGATCTTCTGTCCAACAGTTCATTCCCCAAGTGGCTGCAATGCCCAGAGCGGAGCCGATCTGAAGTCAGGAGCCAGCAGCCTCTTCTGGGTCTCCCACATGGGTGCAGGGTCCCAAGGCTTTGGGCTGTCCTCGACTGCTTTCCCAGGTCACAAGCAGGGAGCTGGATGCAAGTGGAGCAGCCTGGACATGAGCTGGTATCCAAATGGGATCCCAGCAGTTGCAAGGCGAGGAGTTTAGCTGCTAGGCTACTGTGCCGGGCCCGGAGATCTGAACTTTTGAGGGAGACCCAGTAACAACGTACATGTGTTCTTGATTTTTGTAAAAAGGAGACCCACCAGGCGGGCAGCAGTGATCCGCGTACTAGACCGGAGGGTCTTGTCACATTTCAGTGACCAGAGACTCCTCTTCTTCCTCTAATCCTAAGAGGCAATGCTTCCTCTTCCCAAAGCATTTCCTAAGTAATAATTCTCGTGTTTACCTGACACGCCCACCAGAGGTTCTTGCACTACCACCCTGCACTGGCAAATCCCACCCGCCTTCTGCAGGATGTGCAGCTTGACGCTGGAGCTTAGCTCCTGGGCAGGGTCACAGTGTGGTTTTCCAGGAATGCTTGGCACCAGGACTATGGGAGGCAGGCATGGAGCCCCCACGAGGCCCTGTGCCAGGGGGTGGGGGTACATGCTTTACTCTAAGACAAACATTTCATGAGCCAAGGACTGAGCTCCCCCCACCCCACACCAGCGACCTGGAGATGGAGGTGCTATGGAATCTACCTGGGGTAGGACAATGGTGAGCGACGGAGCGGATCTAACTCCAGCCCCTGATCTATGCGAGCATCCTGGAGTTGGCTACGGAATCCCCCACATGCCCACAGGGACCCTTGAAGCCCTAGGGAATCCCAAGCTGGCAAACCCTGACCTGAATCCTAGCCAAAGCAAGGCAGACAAGAAACCAGGATAGGCCAAGTTTCTGTAAGCAGTGGTTAAGTAGGAAGGAGGCAGCCGTCCAGGGGCAGAGAGAATAAAGGGGCCTTTTAAGAAGAGGTAAACAGTAGCTGGAGAAGGGGGCGGGCCAACCCAGCCCAAGCTGGCTCTTCTGCTATTTACAGGGAGGACCAAAGGCACACCAACAGGTAAACACCTGTGCCAGGCCACTACCCGTAGGAAGTGGCCAACCTGGTTTGGAGACTATTTCAAGCAGAGGGCACCAAGATGGATGGGCTGGCCCTGCACGTGGGCTGGATGAGGGAGGCAGTGTCAGCCCCCCTCTGTGCACCCCCAGACTCCCTTGCCAGACCCAGCAGGACAGGAACGCTTCCTATGGGAGCCTGTGTTCCTGAGCAAAACCCAGCCCAGAGCTAATGGGAGCCTGGCCTGGCTGCTCCTCCATGTTCTCCCCTCTGTTGTGACAGATAATCAGAGTCAGCTCACAGACACCGTGTTCAAGCTGCTTAAAGACATTTTTTCCCCTCTGCACTTTTTCTGTATGCTCTTCACTCAGTCCAGTATTTCCTAAGCTGAACAAGAAATTCAATTCACTCTTCAACACCCGGCTCATACTTGTCAGACATCTTTTGAGACTTTTCCTGCTCAGGGATCCCAACTGACAGAAGGGGTGACCAACTACCATCGTAAGACCATTTTATGAACCTGGTGCGGTAGCCTAGTGGCGAAAAGTCTTCATTTTGCATGTGCTGGGATCCCATATGGGTACTGGTAGCTGCTCCACTTCACTGCTTGTGGCCTGGGAAAGCAGTCAAGGAAAGCCCGAAGCCCTAGGACCCTGCATCCACGGGGGAGACCTAGAAAAGGCTCCTGGCTCCGGATCGGCTCAGTTCCTGCTGTGTGGTCATTTGGGGAGTGAACCAGTGGATGGAAGATCTTCTTATCTCCTTCTCCCTATGTATCTGCCTTTGCAATAAAAATACATTTTTTAAAGATTTATTTTATTTTTATTAGAAAATCAGATACACAGAGGAGGAAAGGCAGAAAGATCCTCCATCCAACTTATGACTTTATGAGGAACTGTGCTATTCTAACGATATGGGAGAACTCAGTGGCAGCGGGGGGACGGCGGGGGGCCAAGGGAAGAGGCAGGGGAGATCCTAAGGCCTATGGAACTGTATCATAAAATGATAATAATAATGAGGAAAAAATTATTGAAAAAAACCCCACTGATTTACTCCTTAAGCAGCCGCAATGACCATAGCTGCACCGATCTGAAACCAGGAACCCAGCGCCTCCTCTGGGTCTCCCACATGGGCACAGTGTTCCAAGCCTTGGGCCATCCTGCTACTGCTTTCCCAGGCCACAAGTAGGGAGCTGGAGGGGAAGCAAGGCCACCGGGACTAGAATTCGTGCCCATGTGGGATCCCAGCGCTTGCAAGGCAAGGACTTTAGCCATTAGTCTAACATGCTGGGCCCAATAATTTTGTTTTAAAAGACTATTTTGCATGCACTTGTTTTGTTTTAGGTGGCCAAGCCTTCCAATACTTTTTTCAGTTGACTGAGACAAGACACATTCATAATTCCCTTTCTGACGCTCTCAGGGCCAGATGCACCCAAGTAGAGTGATGTGGGTGGCACTCGGTGACCAGACACCCATCTACAGCACAATGGACAGGAGTTCACACCGAGTGGGGTGCATCAAGATCACGTAAAAGCCTCCCTTAGTATGGGAGAAGAAACTTAGTTTCCAGAACTTTCTGGAACTGCAGCTAGGCCTCCAGATGTAGATCAGGTCTTCTCGACTTGAGTTCAGATTTTCCCCTGACCTCAGTTCTAGTCAGATACACGTGTGTGTGTACGTGTGTGTGTGTACGTGTGTGCTGTCTCCCTGTTGGGGCTGAGTTCACTGAGAGCAGAGTGCCTTCTTCAGGCTTAGCTTGTGTTTTAGGAGCTATCTGGGACTGGATTTTTGTTCCTTGTGAGAAAATGTGGAAGTGTTGCTCATTTAGGGCAACAGGGGACGGGTTCAATTTCCCCCCAGGCTGGAACACTGGAAGGGAGAGAGCACCTTATGGCATAATTCAAGTCAATTTAATGACAGCCCAGCTGCCAGGCACTGTGCCGAGACATTTAAAAAGGGGCAAAATCGGGCCTAGTGGCTGAAGTCCTCGCCTTGAACGTGCCGGGATCCCATATGGGCACCGGTTCTAATCCCGGCAGCTCCACTTCTCATCCAGCTCCCTGCTTGTGGCCTGGGAAAGCAGTCAAGGACGGCCCAAAGCCTTGGGACCCTGCACCCGTGTGGGAGACCTGGAAGAAGTTCCTGGATCCTGGCTTCGGATCGGCGCAGCACCAGCTGTTGCGGTCACTTGGGGAGTGAATCATCAGACGGAAGATGTTCCTGTCTCTCCACCTCTCTGTATATCTGACTTTGTAATAAAAATAAATAAATCTTAAAAAAAAAAAAAGGGCAAAATCAACCCCTTGTGCAGCAGCCACGTGTCTGGAGGCAGCGGGAGAAGAGCTCAAGGCGAGAGCACCTCACCCGGCGGGGGCTGGCCTCCTGGTGCAGCAGGCTGGACCCACTTGTGTGTTGGCTGGAGTCCTGTCTGCTCCACTTCTGATCCAGCTTTCTGCTCAAACATGCAGGGAAACACCAGCAGATGGCCCAAGTGCTTCGGTCCCTACCCGCCCAAGTGTGGGAGCTAGGCTGAGTCGCAGGATCCTGGTTGTGACTTGGTTCAGGCCTGGCTGTTGCAGCCATTTGGGGGAGGGAACTAGCAGATGGAAGACCCCTCTGTATCTCTGCCTTGCAAATACATAAATCTTGAAGTCTTGGGGCAGAAGAGCTGTCTTAGCTGGAGTTTGGATGAACGGAGGTGGGCTGGAAGGACTGAGCTGGAGGGAGGTTTTTGGGACCGAGGGGACAGCGGAGCATGGGACCTGTCCTGTCGGGAGGCCAGGTGGTAGGTGTGGCCTGGAACAGAGTATAGGCAATGGGGACAACTCCTCAGTCTGCAACCTTGTAACCTGTAAACAAGTGGCACCGAAGACACTCAGTAACCAACTCCCAGGGTTGGGGGGTAGGAAGCAAGTCTGATGATGCCCAGGCTTCCGGCTTGGACAACTGGACACTGACACTGGGAGGGAATCGGGACGCTGTGTTTCGAGTTCACAGCAGGGATCTCTGGGATAGAAAGAGGGAGCTGAAGTCAACTGTGTATAGGGAGAAGAAAAAGGAATTCTGAAAGGAAATTTGGCTGGAAAATGAGATGACAATTAATGTGACAGGTTACTGAGCTCCAGGCTTTGGGTCTATCTTAAATACATGATATTCTGCAGTCCCTAACATCTATATCAGGATACCATCACATCACCTTAGAGAAAACTGAGGCTTCAGAGAAGCTGAGTAACGTGCTCCAGAGTTTGTGACAAGTCTTGACCCTAACCTGGATTGCAAAGCTCTGGCTGCACTGCTGCTTGTGCTGCTAGAAGCCTTTCCTGGACCCACAAGCCACACCAGTGTCACCAAGGCTCCGAGAAGTCCTTGAGTAAAGACATTTGTGCGGCTCACACAGGCTGGGGGTGCTGTGTACACTGCCCTGCACAGGCTGCCCTGCTTCTGCTTTCTGCAGCAGTTTGAGAAACAACGTGCTGAGCTACCCACTGCTCCGAGCGCTCCTCCTTGGTATCTAGGGAGTCTGGCTGCTCTGTGCCCAACGGAAATGCACGGAACTGGGAGGGAAGATGGAGTGGGGGTGGGGGGAGCAGGCAGAGGATGAGGGTCTAGGCCAAGCTGCAAAAACACAGGCAGGTGCTGGCAGGGGCGGGCCTGACACAGGCTGCCAGCCAGGCTGGAGGCATGCTGGGCCAGCTGCGTCTCAGCAGGGAGGCCAGCCCCAGCCTGCCCAGAGGAATGCCCCGGACAGGGAGCACAGACCCTGCTGTTCCTGCTGACAGTTCTACCAGCGTAGTCAAGGATACCGTACTGCTGAGACAGGAAGGAAAACTGGGCGCGTCTGAATTCCAGGAGCTGGAACTCTGGTGTGATAGCAATTCCTTTCCAGTTCCTTTTTTTTTTCCAACTCACCAGAAGAAACAATAGCTGCGTTACAGTGTTACTGAGAGCAAAGGAGGCACCCAAACACAACCTGGCTGGATCACAAGTCGCTTCCCCCAATACTGTTCCAGTTCCCCTTAGAGAGCAGCGGCGCCACACAACTCGGAGGCACGCCACTGTCTTTAGCCGACAGATCCCAGACTGGATAAGGTCACAAAAGCTCCTTTGAGGCTGAGCCTGTACACCTGTGATGCCATGTGAAGTACAGGGCCGACAGAAGAAAGAGCCTTTTGAGAGGGAGGAAAAGGGGCTTGTCCCCTGGAGACTGGCTCGGCTCTCCGTGCTGTGGAAGGTGGGCTCCGGCCAGCTCTGCTCATATATCCTTCCCACCTTCCACATGAAACTGGCGGCTGACTGTGTTTATCTTCATCTTCCGCTCAGTCATCTCAGACCACTCAACAGAATTTGTAGCAGCAAGAATAGACAGGGAGAGAGAGTCCCAGTGGCCAGAGACTTTCCCCACTGCTCAGTCCAGAAGCCTGTAACATGTTGCATCACAGGCCACGTGGCGCTCCCCGGGCTCTCTGAAGTCCCCATGGTCACCCACACGCTACCCCCGACGAGTTAGTGTGCTGGCATGCTGGGTCTCTCTTCCTGGGAGGTAAAAGCAAACAGGTTGCCACTGGGCTTGGGGGCACTGTCTGCTCGCAGCTTGTACCCCTGCTGCCCACTGCGCCAACAGGGAACACGGGTGACCTCAGCTGGTAGGGGTCTGAAGAGGTCCTGGGCTCTGAGGGTCACATGACATACCCGGCACAGCCACCTGCCTCCATGGACCTTCTGTGGTCACCCCCACCTCCAAGCGATCCTGCCTGCTTCCATTCAAGGGCTTACCTTCTGGCTCCTCAGCACAAATCATTTTAAACTGCAGGCAATCAGAAGCTCGGGACAACTTCTGAAAGTTTCTACCCATGGTACTTAAAGAACCTTTACCCCCACCTTCTCAATCCCTTACTTTGTTTCAACTAAGATTACCTGGCTGTGTGCAGGTCCCCTAACAGACACACTTCACTCCAGGGAAACCTCCTCGTTTGAAGGAAGCTGCAGGGTCCCTGCCCGCCACTGCCTCTGTCCCTTAGGTACCCCTGCCCAGCTGGGGCTGCTGATTAGCAGAGCCAGCCAAGGGCAAAGGGGGTCCCCAGTGAACTCTGGTGCTACAGAGCCCAGGTTTCAAGCCTCAGCCAGAACGGCGGCAGCAGGACAACTGCAGGCTTGTACCATGTGGGAGATGGTACGTGCACCTGGCCTCACCACTGCTGACATTCTATCGGCCTGACCGAAGGGACGGTGATTGGAGCGGTTTTCCGACTGTCACACTTAGTGGCAAGAGGAGGTCTGGAATCCAGTTTCTTGCGGGTGAATTCCGGCTGAGCCTCAAGTCATCTTTTTCTTTCTCATAAAATGAGGAGCCCTGCAGCTGGCCGAGGCTGGGCAAGGCCAGGAAGTGTATCAGAGAGCTGATAGGAGTCCTCGAGCCACACAAGTGGGAACACTTTTCCCTGACCCGGCCACTGAGCAATTCCTGGAGTGGCGGCCAATGGAAGGTACAGACTGCACCAGCCTCACAGGATGTGGATTCTGCTATGCTGGAGGCTGGAATCCTGTGACTGCAGGTGAGCGCCTCTCTGCTCCGAGACCTCCTTCCCTGGGTCCTTCCACACCGAGACCTCCTTCCCTGGGTCCCACAGTAAGCTCCTGTCAGCACTCCATGAACGCTTTGACTGATAAGCTTGGAATATTTTCCCATTCTCTCTTCCTATTTTCCTATTCTCTCTTAGTTTCCTAGGGAACTAAGCTTGGCCCTCCTTTCAGAGAAAGCATCCTCTGACTGCTGCAAAGGGCGAGGGAGCCTTCTGGGGCATCCATAGCTCTGAACCTACCCAGGATGGCACTTACTCTGTGGGGTAGCCCCTCTGCTTGGGCTCCTGGAGGGCAAAGCCTACCAATGCTTCCTCAGGGCCTGGCACTTAGTAGGACCTCAAAGAATAAATGGCAAGAAAACTTGCTAAGGCAACGTGTTCTACTCCTGTTCTGAAAACAATGAAGAGCTCTTGAAGAGCTCTTGGCAGTGCGCCAAGCTAACGTGCTACAACGTTTTTCAAAGCATTGTTATTCTAGCTCTAAAACCCAATCACCTGTACAGTTCTGATTTTAAACACTGACATCAACTGTAAAAATAAATACACGAAAATAGGAAATTCCCTGAGAGTGTGCATGCCTCCCCCACACAGTGAGAAAGCAGAAAGCTTGGGTCATCACTGCCTGCTCCCCCACAACTGAATGGGTACATAGTTCAAGGGTTTCTAGCTCTGGGGCTGGCACTGCAGCACAGTGGGTAAAGCCATGGCCTGCAATGCTGGTACCCTTTATGGGAACTGGTTTGAGCACCAGCTACTCCAGTTCCCATTCAGCTCCCTGCTACTGGTCTGGGAAAGCAGCAGACAGTAGGCCAAGAGCCTGGGGCCCTGCACGCATGTGGGAGACCCAGAAGAAGCTCCTGGCTCCAGCCTTTGGCCTAGCCTAGTGCTGGCTGGCTATTGTGGCCACCTGGGAAACAAACCAGCAGATCTCCAACTTTGAGTTTCCAGCTCAGCTGCATTTTGCAATAGTAGCAGGAAGGTGAGAAGACCAGCATGAGAAGGATCCCATCAAGCGGAGGAGCCAGGCTGCCAGTGCTCCTGTTAGCTTCTCGCGCCTGGGGCTCCCTCTCCTAACAGCACAAACCTGAGCTCACTTGAAGGACCTACAATTTGACCTTATTTTCGAAGTTACTATTGTATACTCTGCCTCACTCTCAAAAAGCATTGTAGCTGGGCCCGGTGTAGTGGCCTAGTGCCTAAAGTCCTCACTTTGAATGCGCCGGGATCCCATATGGGTGCTGGTTCTAATCCCGGTAGCCCTGCTTCCCATCCAGCTCCCTGCTTGTGGCCTGGGAAAGCAGTCGAGGTCAGTTCAAAGCCTTGGGACCCTGCACCCAGGTGGGAGACCCAGAAAAGGCTCCTGGCTCTTGGCTTTGGATTGGCTCAGCTCCGGCCATTGTGGTCACTTGGGCGGTGAATCATTGGACAAAAGATCTTCCTCTCTGTCTCTCCTCCTCTCTGTATATTTGACTTAGCAATAAAAATTAAAAAAAAAAAATAAAAAAAAAAGCAAAAAAAAAAAAAATTGGAGCTGACTGCTACTGTTTTTTTACGCACAGGTCTAAGAGGGAGGAAGGGCATAAAGCTGGCCCTGCAGCCCAGATGGCCGAGTCCAGTGTTGCTACTTGCCACACTGGCATCCCAAACGGGGTTACTGTTCAAGTTCATGCTGCTCCACTTCTGATCCAGCTGGCTGCTAAGGCGCCTGGGAAAACCATGGAAGACCACAAGGGCTGGAGTGCCTCCCACTGCACACGAGACCAGGTTGGAGTTCTAGCTCCTAGCTTCAGCCTGCCCTAGACATAACTGTGTGGCGAATGACAAGTGGGTGGAAGATCTTTGTCTCTCTGCCTCCACCATTTTGTCTTTCAAATAAATAAAAACATCTAAAAAGAAAAAAGTCAAGAGAGGGGTCACGTCATGGTAGGTTAAGCTTCTACCTCTGGCGCTGGCATCCCATATGGGTGCCAGTTTGTGATCCAGCTTCCTGTTTGTGGACTAAGCAAGCAGCAGAGTCCTTGGGTCCCCGCCCCCTCATGGCCAGCTCACAGGAAGCTCCTGGCTCCTGGCTTTGGCCCGGAACAGCTCTGGTCATCGTGGCCACTTGAGGACTGAACCAGGAGATGGAAGACCTCTGTTTCTGTGCGTCTCCTTCCCTCCGTGACTTTCACAGAAGGAGCATCCTAGTTGTATGATGCCAAAGGAGTGTTTTTTTAATCTTTTCAATCTTTAGTTTTCTCATCTGCAAAACTGGAAAAAGAGTCTTTAGAAACTTTGAGGTCCTCTCACATGTGTGGAGAATTTAGCCCAGTGCTTGCTGCACGGTACACACACAGGAATGAGAGCACTTCCACCCTAAAACCTGGAGCACTGCAAAACTCTCGAGGGAACGGGAACTTTCGAGGGGGAGAAAAGGAAAGAGAAGGACCTGGGGACAATCTGGAAGAGAATCTAGACTGCACCAAGAAAAATGGTCATGGGTGAGGGACCTGTGCAATTTCTAGAATGTTTGCAATTCTCTGCACTCTTGCTTTATTTACATCAGTTCAATTCTTCATACAAAAAAGGCCTAAGTGTTGATTCAAACAGAGTCCTTCTGAGAAGGCAGGGAAAGAGGGAACATGGGCTAGTGGGGGAGGGGACATCTAGGATGCAGATGGGGACTTCGAGGCTGACAGGAGGGCAGAGGAGTCTGCACTGAGTTCCCTCTGGGCCTCTCTCCCTGCCTTCCTTCTGTGTGCAGTGCTCTGGTCTCCAGGCAGGCATGAGAAGCCACACCAGTGAGCGGAATGCTCTGCTCCGATTCTGACCTGACCTGGTGTAACCTGACCCAGACACCCGGTCACCGGGTGTGTAAGAGACACCTGATTCTTTCCGTGATAACGTGGTCACCCTAAACCTCGTAAGACATGACTACAAAGAGAATCCCCGTCTCTGGCCTCAGTTCACGTTCAAAGTTGCCTGAATCTGGGTCAGAAGCGGAGCTGTGCTCTTCAGGGACAGGAGGGGAAGCAGTCACCTGATCCACCTACAGTCTGTAGCTGGGGAGAACTTTGAAGGCGGCCCCAGACCTACCAGGTCCTTCGTGGGGTAGGGCTGGGGAACACACCCCGCAGCTGCTGGAACCGTGCGAGCCTAGGCTGTGACGCTCCGTAGAGCTTTTCTGCTTTGAACTTGAGGGATGCTACTAGAGTTCCACACCAGGAGGCAAGAGTCTTCCTCTCCTTGGCAGCTTCTGCCAGTCTGTCCCAGCTTCTCCGGCTGCACTCGGCTACTCACCCCTCCGGGGAGTCCTCTAGACCCGGAAAGCCTTCCACACCACAGGGCTCTGTGAGCCCTCCCACTCTGGGGGACTCTGGCAGCATCTCTTTCCTGGCACCAGGAACGGAGTACACATGAGTGGGAGAGGGGCTCCACTGCCCGCGCGGGGGGACTCACGTGGAAACAGAGCTCCACACAGCACCATCCTCAGGAGAACCTCGCCCTGACCTGCCTGATGACCTAGGCTCAGCCCACGGTGTGAGGGTTTGCTAACTGATCCTGTCTTCTCCATATTCTTTTCATTTACTCTCAAGGGCCATGTGGCTAGGCTGCATGCCTCACCTTGAGTTGTACTGAGGCTTATCCTCCCCACGTCAAAACCTGCAACCTGCATTTTAACTCACCATCAAGATCATCCCACGTTTGCCTATCCTTCAGGAAAACAATCACATTATGTATTGGAAAGTCGAGACCTTCCAGGAGGCAAGCAGGCACTTTTTGGTTGGCACGCAGTCCGTTTTTAACGATGAGTAGGCCCAGAGAACCTCAGTAAGTTGTCAAACACACATAGCTAGGGTACACTGAGGTATGGTTTTGACCCCAAGTGCTTCGATCCCCACTGGACCGTCCTGCCCTAGTGCGCCTCGGGTGGTCCCAGTCAGCTCTTTCAAAAGGTTTTTTATCCACCTGTTATCTTCACAGCTCAACCATGTGCCAAATCCGCGAACTCGGAGCCATTGGTTGTTTAAGGCAAGGGCACAATCAGGAAGGTGCGGAGGGCTTGGGGAGCATGAGTACCCAGCAGGGGCAGATCCTGTATTTGCTCTTCTCCAAAGAGCGCTAGGTGCAGGGGGACTCACTGGAGACAGGCTCCTGGTCCCTGGTCACTCATCCACCACTTCATACGAGGCCTTTGCCCTTGGTATATCTGCAACAACGACCTCACTTCGTGGAGAAGCGAAGACGCAAAGGGGCAAAAGATGGTTCAGAAAACGCAGGTGCTGTCAGTCACGCTTGATACAATGCTGTCACTTGCAGGCTTGTGTGATTTTACCGCTCAGGCCTCCATTTCCCCGTCTGCAAAATGGGACTGTTCCCAAACAGTGCTGCAACAACACAAGGCTTCCTGTCACCCTGTACTCCAGCCACAAGCTCAACCCTGTCACCCTGTACTCTAACCCGTGCCTCCCGGGCGGGTTCTCGGCTTCCTCCACCAAGGAGCACGCCGTAGGGGGCTTCAGTTCCCGTCCTGCCATCCTCCGCCCCCGACCTCCCTTCCCCGGCTTGGACGCCGTCTCTTACTCGACGACCTTGGCTGGATCCCCGTGGCTCCCATAGACCAGCGCTCGGACCTGGGAGGGCTCGGCAGACGTGGAGGAGGCCGCAGTCCGGCGGCAACCCGAGGCCCAGAGCAGCGCTCGCCGCATCCCCGCCAGGGCCAGAACCCCGGGACGTGAACAGCGAACCCACATGTCCTCTCTGGCCGACACCGCGGTTGACGTCGCCGCTGCGTCATCTTCCCGCGACCGCGCGCCTACGCCCCACCTCCAGCCACGCCCCCTCATCGCGACCACGCCCCCGTCCTCCTTTAAACTGGGCCGTCGCCTTCCTCCGCCGCCCACGTGGGGGCGCCTTGCAGTTCCGCGGGAGCTACTCTCGGGGTGCGGGCGAGTGGTTGAGGCGTGGGAGGCTCTAGGAAGTACGGGGCTTCTCAGCGCACCGAAGCTGCTCTTCCAACCTGGAGAGGCTAGGGTTGGCGTACAGTTGTGTGCACAGCCCAGTGTCTGATTTTGCGGGTGGGGGGGATGTTATTTCCGCTCCCCTGGCCTTTCTGCTGAAATCCATCGGATCCAGGGAGCCAAGGGCCGGCCCCCTGAGGTAGCATTTGTGTAACCTCCGGCATGGGGAGTTGGGGCTTACTTCTCTACCCTGAGCAGAGCCTGCGGGACAGCCCGGAGCAGGTGTCCTGCTTCCAAGTTCCCGCAGCAGCTTGGGTCCACCGAGAAATTGGCCTGTCTCCTCCCAGACTGCTGTGAGAGGAGGATGAGGCAATAGGAGAAAGTAAGGGTGAGAGAACACCTCGTAAAAACGCTGGGTTCCGGCGGGCAGAGAGGCACCATCAGGAAGAGGGCACCTGCTGGCAACGCTGGCACTGTATGAAGACATGAAGTGGAACCCTGGGGATGCCGTGCAAAAAGCAGTAGCCAGATAAGGCTGTCAGGTCTTACTGTGGCTGAGGGAAGGCAGGCACATTCCCACTTGAGGGTGGGTGTGTGCGAGGTGGGGACCAGGCTGGGGGCTTTTGGTAGAAGCGCTGTTGGAGCCAGCCCTGGGGTGCAGTCGGGTCTTCTGAGTTCCGCGCTCAGACCTGTTGACCGAGGATCTTGGGGGAGAGGTCTGGGACCATGCAGGTGGGCTAGGGAGCAGGCTCCATGGCCGCAGCGGGGCGTGAAGGCCCACGAAGAGGCCTTCTGCTGTTTGCTGTTGCTCACAGCATGTCCCCCATGCAGGCTGAGCCAGGGTGTGGGAGCAGGACTCAGCACAGCATGCCTGGCTTGGAGTCCCGGCCCTGCCTATTTCCAGCCATTGGATTTGGACAAGCCCCCTGGCCTTTGGGCGTCTCATTTCTTGACAGAGGGAGTAAGGGTAGTGTTTCAGGGTTGTCAGGGTCTAGTGAGATGTTGTTGATTCGAAGCTTAGCACTTGGACCCATTTGACTGTTGTGAAGATTCAGCGAGAAATATCACCTGCTAGATGCTCAGCTTAGGTTCTGGCTCCTAGAATGTACTCCCCAGATGTCCTTTTGTGGTTAGAGTTGATGTCCCATGGTCGGGGAGGGACACAGTGCCCCAGCCACCTGTGAGTGTACACACAGGTGCACATGTTACTCTCTGCTTGTCCGGACACACAGGCTGTTGGTGCCAGGAGGGACCTAATTATCCTCTTTTGTAAGGCCACTCCATGGATGACATTGAGCTGTCAACATCTTGACCAAGAAGCTCCCCCTTCTTGGGGGATTGAGCTTTGCCCTGCCTCGCATCTCCATAGTCTTCACTTTTTTTTTTTTAAAGATTTATTTTTATTATTTTGTCATTGGAAAGGCGGATATACAGAGAGGAGAGACAGAGAGGAAGATCTTCCGTCCGATGATTCACTCCCCAAGTGAGCGCAACGGGCCGATGCTATGCCAATCCGAAGCCAGGAGCCTCTTCCGGGTCTCCCACGCAGGTGCAGGTTCCCAAAGCTCTGGGCCGTCCTCGACTGCTTTCCCGGGCCACAGGCAGGGAGCTGGAAGGGAAGCGGGGCTGCCGGGATTAGAACCAGCGCCCATATGGGATCCCGGGCGTGCAAGGCGAGGACCTTTAACCACTTGCGCCACCGCGCCGGGCCCATATAGTCTTCACTTTTAAGCCAAGCCATTGGGGTTCCCCCCAGGGGCACAGTTTCAGACTGACTGGGGTGGGGGTGACCTGGCCGTGCATATAGGACAGTTTGCAGATTGACTGCCACTCTGTCCTTCCAGCTTTATTTTTTTTGCTACTGGACACAGCATAGCTCATCTGTGCCCAGCGCCAACCTTCCTCATTGCCTGCCTTTACCCAGGTTTGCCTGCCTTACCTACCCGGAAAACCCCAGCTTTACATATCATTTCTTTGCTGTTGCTTCCCCACCCTGTAGGTTGAGCCAACCCCATTGCCTTTGTGTTTTCTCTGGCCTGTGTCCATGACCTTTAGGACATTGTCCTTGGTCATTTATGTGCCTACGGGCCCCTCAGGCTGAGCTTGGTTCATCTCCATGACACCAGCATTCAGTATGGGGCCTGGAAGCGGGCAGGTGTCATAAATATTCCATGAGTACAGGTAATTGAATTTCCTCTTGGTTGGCTACTGTCTGTGGGGTCATCTCCTTTCCCTTAGATCTGGGCTGGTCACTTCAGGCCAGGACTGCCTGCCTGCCTTCCTTCCTTTTTTCCTCCCCCCCTTTCTAATTCTTTTCTTCCTTCTTTCCTTCCTTTTACAAGGATGTTGTCTGAGCATCTGTCCACCTGTTGCACAGGCACTTTCTCCCGCTGTGGTAGTTTGTGCCACTTTCCCCCCACACAAAGAGCTTAGGAATGGGAACTCAATCAGACCTGGGTTCAAGTCCCAGGCCCACCATTGACTGACACTGTGGCTTGGGGCAAGTGTCCTATGGTTTCTGGGCCTCAATTTTCACATGCGTGAAATGGGGTTCATGTAAACTGTGGTCATCAGGCTCCCGCAAGAGTCCCGTGCCAAGAGCAGCCTTGGCCATTGTTCTTGTTGATATTGTCTCCCCCCAAGGCCTCTTCTCTGCCCCAGCAGCTAGTTGTTATCTTTTTTTAAAAAAAGATTTATTTTTATTACAAAATCAGATATACAGAGATGAGGAGAGACAGAGAGGAAGATCTTCCGTCCGATGGATGATTCACTCCCCAAGTGACAACAGTGGCTGGAGCTGATCCAATCTGCAGCCAGAAGCCAAGAGCTTCCTCCAGGTCTCCCATGTGGGTGCTGGGTCCCAAGGCTTTGGACCGTCCTCGATTGCTTTCCCAGGCCACAAGCAGGGAGCTGGATGGGAAGTGGGGCAGCCAGGACTAGCACCAGCGCCCATATGAGATCCCAGCAGTTGCAAGGCAAGGACTTTAGGCACTAGGCTACTGCACTAGGCCCTCTATTTGTTTTCTTTCCTGCGCCTTGACTTTGGCTTCTGTCTCTCTCTTCTTGTAATTCTTAACTGTTTCATTTCCTACCTAGAGAGGTCTTTTGAACCCTCCCCCAATCCAGCCTGGAGCGTACCAGTGTCCACAGCAGAGAAGCCCAGGAACCCTTGGCCCTGTCCAGTTCTGGGATAGCTTCTGGGTGTGCTGACTGCAGCATGGAGCCATCTGGGAGTGGGGGGATGGTGGGCACAGTGGGCCTGTATGCATCTTGAACCCTCAGACTTGGTCCAGTGTCAGCGGGTTCTTCATCCTGCTGGATGGGAAACTTAAACAGGAAGAACAGAACTCCGTACCCTTTGTTTCCCATTGCTCTTCACCTTGGGCTTGCAGTCCCTGCTGACCACTCCACTTGCACCTGCCACCTCTCCACTCCTGCCCCACTCAGTTCATCCCAGCTGCCCTGGCCTCCTTGTAGCTTCTCCAACCACTTTCTGGCTTTACCTGGGCTGTCCTCATGGACCACGATGTGGCCTCCCCTGGAGTGCATGATACGGGTGCCCGCCCCTGCTTCAGGTTTCAGCCCACATGTCACCAGGTCACTTACTTACCCAGGAAGCTCTCTGGGACTCTCATATCTGAAGAGGGACCTCCAGGGTCTTTCCACAACATCCACTCTGTTCCTTCAGCATGCCTGTCTCGGGCTGCAGTTACTGGTGTGTTTGCTGTCAGTCTCTCCCTCTAGAGTAAAAACTTCTTGAAAGTAGGGGCTCTGCCTGCCTTCATTCCTTCACTCATTCACTCACTCACTCACTCACTCACTCACTCACTCACTCATTCATTACTGAGCAGACACGGATCCACAGAGGCCTTCTGTGAGAGGGCGCAAGTTCTAGAGGCAGAGACAGATGACGCCCATGTCCTGCTGCTGCAGTAATCCCCTTCTCCCCCTGGCCCTCTGCCCAGCTCACCGGTGAACGGGGTAAGGGAAGATTCGGCTCCCTGGGCTTGTCGTTGTTCTTTGCTGTTGAACGTGAGCTCCACGAAGGAAGGGGTGCAGGTCTGTCTTGCTCTCTCCCTCACATGAAAAGTGTGTAGTGCTTGTGAATGACTGGGTTTCCACGGGAGGCAGGGTTAACTTCCATTCAAGTCAAACAAGACAGCTTTTATTTTTTTAAAAAATATTATTTATTTATTAACTGGAAAGGCAGATTTACAGAGAGGAGAGACAAAGATCTTCCATCTGCTGGTTCGCTCCCCAGATGGGGAAGAGCTGATCTGATCTGCAGCTGGAGTCAGCAGGTTCTTCTGAGGCTCCTAAGTGGCTGACCTGAGCCATCTTCCACTGCTTCCTGGGTCATACGCCGGGAGCTGGATCAGTGTGGAGCTGCCGGGACACAATGCTGGCATCTATGTGGGATACTGGACTGTAGGGGAATTAGCCTGTTCAAGCACAGTGCTGGCCCCTGGCAAGGCAATTTTTTTTTATTTTTTTTTAAAGATTTATTTTTATTATTTTTCCATTGGAAAGGCAGATGTACAGAGAGGAGAGACAGAGAGGAAGATCTTCCATCCGATGATTCACTCCCCAAGTGAGCGCAACGGGCCGATGCTATGCCGATCCGAAGCCAGGAGCCTCTTCCGGGTCTCCCACGCAGGTGCAGGGTCCCAAAGCTTTGGGCCGTCCTCGACTGCTTTCCCGGGCCACAAGCAGGGAGCTGGAAGGGAAGCGGGGCTGCCGGGATTAGAACCGGCGCCCATATGGGATCCCGGGCGTGCAAGGCGAGGACCTTTAACCACTTGCGCCACCGCGC